TCCTAGCAGAGACACCAGAAAGCTGGTGGGACATGGAACCAGGACAACCAGCTGAGCCCACTCATGTAGGAAAATCCCCTGTCAGGCTCTGTGAGTGATCCCAGCTTTGCCTAACTCCACACTCCTAAAAAGTTACCTATAAACAGAAGCTTTGTCAATCAGATTATGTTTTCGCCTCTCCCGCCTTCTCCTGTGTCCCAGATGCAGTTTTTGTGGCTCTTACCAATTTCATCATACAAGGCCCAGGGATAGTATAGTAGTTAGGGTAAATGCATTGCTCTAACAAATAGACCCAAAATGTATAATAGCTCAAACACAAGGGAAGTTTACTTTTTGCTCATCAATAGTTCAGAGAGCCTACCAGAAAAGGGAGGGGCAGTGAGCTCCATTCCACATCATGATTTAGGGACCCAACCTCTGCCACTTCTAACGTATGGGATCCAAGGTGGCCTTGAGCACATACGCAGCCAGCAGAAAAGGAAGCATGGGGATTGGGACATGGGTTCTTCTAGGCCAGGCGAGGAAGTGGGCAACATCAAATACAATCATGTTCCATTGGCTAAAACCTCAAGGATCAAGAAAGGACAAGGACAAACAAAGTCTACACCTGAGTTAGATGTTGGTCTAATGGCAGACAAGGCACCACCTCCCAGACCTCCTACTAGAGGGAGCTTCATGGACTGAAGGTCCCTTTCTGCAAATTCTGTGCAATTGAAGACTGAGCTTTTCCTGAATTGTGCCTCCCACGCACTGCTCCCTCCTCCCAATGGCTGAGTGCACCATTGTCTCTGGGAGTACAGGGGACTCTTGTGTTGCTAAGTTTGTCTCAAGAACTCCCTGGTGGCTTTACTGAGCCTTCCTTAGACTATGCAACAGGCTAGTGAGCTTCCACCCCACCGCTTTCCCCTCTTTCACTCAGGGTCAGATTTACCTTGCGGTCTGGTGGTCTCCCTGACTTCTCTGGCTTCTTCCCCATTTCCCTTCACGTAGGTATTTCCCATCATAATTGTCTGGGCATCTGCATCTTAGAGGACCCCATCAACACAGGAGACCACTTCCTGGCGTTCTGATGACCCTCCACTCTGGTTAGGGCCATCATGTGCAGCTGGCAAAAGTGGACGAAACCTGTTTGGACAAAAGATGCTCTGGGCAGACCCAGAACTGCCTACTCTCATCTCTCTTACCATAGAAGACCCCATAGGATAACATCTACAGGAAGGTGTAAGAAAAATTAATGTATGGACCAAAAGGCAAAGGGAGAAATAAAAGGAAAGGTGCCACTAAGAGCCAGCAGTTAAGTGAAAGGAGGAAAGTGACCAAATTAAGGAGTGAGTTCAGCTGTTAGAAACTTCTGGAAAGGAGAAAGAGAACAGCAGAGGGAAGTAGAGCTTTGGAGGTCCAGTCTTACCTTTCCCCTCCCCTGCAGAAAGAGTATATGAGAGGGAAATGCCTCCTAAGGCCTCTAACATCCCAGAGCTGAGAAAAGACTGCCTTGAGGAGCGAGTGGGAGAGGTAGAAGACCTCCTTAGACCCATGCTTCCCCAGTGGAAGAGCAGTGCTGTTCCAAGATCCGCTCAGGGCACTTTCTGAGTTGCAGCAAATGAGTCTGAAGAAGAAATCCTCTCTGAATGCAGGTTTTACAGAACCTGCCCAAGCAATTCTAAGCCAGAGCACTTGGGGTAGGAATTGTGGTAAGTGTGGAAAGGTCATGTCACTAGGCTGAGCCCACCCCTAAGGAAGTAAGGAGGTTCTAGAAGCCTGGGGCTCAAAGAAGAAATGGGGAATTAAGAGATTTTGGAACACGCTAGAAGGGAAAGACAGATACCTCCAATGACACTGACTCTGGGACTGCTACCATTGCAATGGCTGCAAGGTAAAAGAACACGGGACAGCCTCAGAGGCAGCTCTGGGGAACAGAGACAGTGCGCAGGGCATATCATCCTGTTGCAGAAGGGCGACACCAAAGTTAGCTCTTGATGGAAGATTCCAGCCAGTGGAGTTGACTATCACAAGCTTGGTCTGACAGGTGTCTGGGGAAGCCAAAACCAAAATCATTTCCAGTGGCCCTTCCTCATTTAGGTACCACTCAGTCTCTGATAAATGACTTGGTTATCAGATTTGGTTTCTAAATTTGATGTGGAGACAGAATTGTGATAATCTTTGATGCCCTATTAATTCTGGACTCTTTAAATAGATGGCATATGAGAGCCGAGCTCACCTTCTCCACCCTGAGAATGTTACACCTCTCCAGCATGATGCTGAAGGAACCCCTACTCTAAATACTGAGACATCCTCTGGCTGAGCCTGAGCAGAATATGAAATTGAGGCAGGAAAAATGTTTGGACCTGAAATGTTCTTTTTATCTTGAAATGGCAAGTGAATTTCATCTTTGAACTTTCATTTCCTACTGGGAATTTCATAATAAGACATCGTTTCTATGACACTGTAGGGCATCTTATTGTTGGCATTTTATTACTGGGGTATCTGAATTTGTCACTTAATCTCCCTGTGGAATACATGATGAACTCTATCAGACCATGTTGTTCCTGGACCAAACTGAGGGTCAGTTACTTATTCTCGTGCCCCAATAACAAGATGCAGATGAACTGGGAAGGAAGGAAGTTTGTTTTTGTAATCGGGTACAGGAAGAAGACCTGGCAAATATCACCAGACCAACTCAAAATTACAAAGTTTTCCAGAGCTTATATACCTTCTAACCTACATGTCTACATGTACGTGTGCAGTCGTCCAAAGACATATATGATTAACTTCTTTTAATCTATAACTAAGTTCTGAGTCCTGAAGACCTTATTCTGGAGCCTCAGTAAATTTACTGAATCTAGATGGCTCCAGGTCCTGGGGTGATTACCCTTATCTTGTCTCCTGCTAAATCACGAAGGTTAGACTTCTAATAAAACTTGTTTGTGGAGGCCTGGGGAATTTCTTCAGACCCCCAGTAAAAACTTTATTTTTATTTTTTGAGACGGAGTATCGCTTTGTCACTCAGGCTGGAGTGCAGTGGCTCAATCCCAGCTCACTGCAACCTCTGCCTCCTGGGTTCAAGTGATTCTCCTGCCAGATCCTCCCGAAGAGCTGGGACTACAGGCACCCACCACCACACTTGGCTCATTTTTGTATTTTAGTAGAGATGGGGTTTCACCATGTTGGCCAGGCTGGTCTTGAACTCCTGACCTCAAGTGATCTGCCTGCCTCAGCCTCCCAAAGTGCCCAGCCAATAAAAACTTATTTAATCCTAAATTAAGAATTCCTTCCTCATCTTGTCATGGTTCAAGCACAGGAGAGGCTTAGGCAAAACTTGTGGTAGGCTTTTGTTCTATTCCAGCCTTTGTATGAGGGCACTGGCTCCTTCAACTTTTAATATTTAACTTAACCACTCAGTCAATGCTGAAACAGTTGTTACGGAGGCCTGCCTGTTCAGCTGCTAGAGAGACCTGGCCTAACACAACGTGGATGGGTAGAATTTGGGATGGGAAATAGACTAAGGAGGGAATTCTCAGCCAAGGGTACAGTGCGCTTGGAGAGGATTTGATGTATACATTTTAACTGTTGTGGCCTCAACTGATGCTTGGCTCTTCTCCCAGGACTCTGTTTTCACTACAGTCCTCTCCAATGGGTGCTCCTTCATCCCTGGGTGGCTCTAGACCACAACTTCTCTGTCTTGGGTAAAACCCTGCTCCACTGAAGTTCTTAGTTCTTCCAGTCTAGTCAGTGCCCACCATCTGTCAACCTCCTGCTCTCTCCCTTCATCAGTGAAGACTGTGACCATGGGGTCTCAGCTTCCTCCCCACTCGGAAGCCTCCCATAGCCCTGGATGACATCAACACATTCCCATGAAGGACCCTAGTAACAATGAAGCCTGTCCTATTGCTTTAATCTTTTGACCTACAGTCACCCCCATCTCTACTCACACTAATGACAATTCTCATGGCTATATCTTGGACTTTGACATTATTCAGATATGTACCATTTCTGAGATATAGGCTTAGTATCCCTAATCTGAAAATCTGAAATTTGAAATGCTCTAAAATCCAAAACCTTTTGAGCACCAATGTGATGCTCAAAGGAAATGAACATTGGAGCATTTTGGATTTCAGCTTTTCAGATTAGGGATGCCGAATCTGCAAATGCAAATATTCCAAAATCTGAAAACATCTGAAATCTGAAACACTTCTGGTCCCAAGCACTTTGGAGAAGGAATATGCAACCAGTCTTACCTTCAACACCCCACTCTCTCTAACCGCAAACTCCCATCCTTCTAGCTCTCTAATTTACTTATTTCTTCCCTTCTCCTTGTAAATGTGAAAGGAAAATAAATCTTGGGACAGCCAAAGTCACTAAGCCAAAGGGAAAAGTCAAGCTGGGAACTGCAGGCAAAGCTGCCTCCCATTCTATTCCTAAACAAGGTAGTTACAGAGATTTTTTTAAAAAGCTACTTACCTCCCTCACAATTTGCCCACAAGAAAATTCTTTGTGGACAAAGAACAGACAGAACTCAAAGTCATCCCTTTGCTCATGTGAGATAAATGCATATCTAATTGTTTCCTTTGCCCTGTTGTTTCACTAAGACAGACTAAGGCATAAGTGACTATTCCTGTAAATTATGTATTCAGTGAAAGGCTAATTGGAAACTCAAAAGAATGCAGCTGTACCTATGACCTGGAAGCCCCCTCCCTGCTTCAAGTTGTCCCACCTTTCCGGATGAAACTGATAAACATCTTACATATATTGATTGATGTCTCATATCTCCCTAAAATGTATAAAACCAAGCAGTGCCCAACTACTTTTGGACACATGTTGTCCAGACCTCCTGAAGCTGTCTTGGATGCATCCTTAACCTTAGCAAAATTAACTTTCTAAGATGACTGAGAACTATCTCAGGTATTTGGGATCATATAAAGTTTTAGACATGGACTCAATTTAAAAGTAAGTCTTGTTGTTTCTAAGAACTATATTGCAGAGAAGAAAAGGGGAACTCTCACCTGCCAGAGGCTGGAAACTATCACATCCACATTCCTCTGCACATCAACAGTGTTTCTTTATACATGAACACAATCCATGCTCCTCCCTGAGAATTGCCGTGCAGTCAGCAGGAGATGAAGGGTATTAGGACACTGTGAACTGAGAAGAGTTGGCCATTTTCCATAGGTCAGCTCCCAGCTGTTGAGCACTGCCAGGAAAAATCACAACAGATTAAAGACTGTGGCCACTGAAAAGTTGGGGTCTTTCCAGATTCATTTACTGATATAAAAGAATTATTACTTATACATGGCCTTGAGTTTGAAAAACAGCAAGATGCATTTCAATATGCTTAATACAATGATTTCTGTAGAAATGTAATATTACCTATGTGAAATAGACTTGGATTTGCTTAGAAATAGAACAAATTGTGGACCCAGCTGACAATAGTGTTTATCTTTAGGTAATTAGATTTTGAAGGACTTTCATTTATCTCCCATTTAAATGTGTTTTTAAATGTAGAGGTAATTCAGGTTGTAAAAAATGTAGACAACACAAATGCATTCTAAATATTTAAAACCAGAGGCTGGGCACAGTGGCTCACACCTGTAATCCCAGCACTTTGGGAGGCCAATGCTAGGGGATCGCTGGAGGCAGGTGTTGGAGACCAACGTTGGCAACACAGCAAGACCTCTCTCTACGAAAACCAGAAAAATTAGCCAGGAGTGGTGATGCATGCCTTGAGACACTATGGCAGGAGGATGGCTTGATCCCATGAGTTCAAGGCTGCAGTGAGCCATGATGGCACTACTGCACTTTAGCCTGGGTGACAGAAGGAGAAATTAAAAAACATGTATGTATATTTAATATTAATATATATTAAAGACATATAATTTGCCCCCTTCCCTCCTTATTCTTTCTCTCTCTGGCTTTCAATTTCCAAGCCATATGCTGCTATAATATTTGAATTTTCCAAAGAGCTTCTATTATTTTTATAATTAGAAAGAATAAAGATGAAAAGGATGAAGAGAGAGCTGTGGTCTCTGACGTCTATGAATCAGCTCCTCGGGCTGCCATAACAAAGTACCGCAAGTTTCGTGGCTTAACTTAACTCAGAAGTGTATCACCCCCAGTTCTAGAGGGTAGAAGTCTGAAATCAAGGCCTCAGCAGGACCGTACTGCCTTGAGTTCTGGGGTGGCATCCTCCCTTGCCTGGTCTCAGCTTCTGGTGGTGGCTGCCACCTGTGGTGTTCCTTGGCTTGCAACTGCATGGCTCCATCGTTTCTTGGCGTTGTCCCTGTGTAAATCTGTCTGTGACCAAACTCTTACAAGGACTCCAGTTCTATTAAGGGCCCAACCTAATGACTTCATCTTGTTTACATCCACAAAGACCTATTTCCAAATAAGTTTCTATTCCCATGTGCCAGGAGTTGGGATTTAAATAAACATTTTGGGGAAACACAATTCAATCCATAACTGTCTCCAAGCTCAGCTGGGCCTCCAGCACTGGCCTGAATTGTTTCCACATCTCCCCAACAGGGTTTACACTGGTGTTTTTTTACAGGGGCTCTTGCAACCTCCTCCATCCTCCACAGCATTACAGCCCAGCAACTTTTCCCCTCACAATCAACAAGTGACTTTATCTTTTCCCTGTTGTCTTTAAAAGCTTCCCCTTGCCTCAGCCTCTTCAAATATGCCTATGGTCCTAAGGAGCCCCATGTCCTGGATTTGCAAATCTCCTGCACATCTCAAATAAATTCAATATATCTGGAAAATCTCCTTCTGTGTGTTATTTGGGTTGAAATAATAGAGAAGATCTGAACAACACTATCAACCACCTTGATCTAATTGATATGTATATAATTTGTCCTCTTCCCTCCTTATTCTTTCTCTCTCTGGCTTTCAAAATTTATTTCCCTCAAAGAAATGAACTTTAATAAAGAAAGAAAAATATATGATCATACATACACAATACTAGGGCCTCTTGCAGGGCACTTACAGAGCCCAACCAAGAGAGGCGCTAAACTCACTTGAAGCTTCATTAGCTATGTAGTAAATTTGCCTCTGCCCCCAGCTCACATTCTGGCTCAATATTCACTTAGTTGTGTGACCGTGGACAAGCTGTTTGAGATCTCAGTCCCTTGAATCCCACATCTGTAAATTGGGAATAATTATAGAACCTTTCTCATTAAATTGGTGAATAAATTCTATGAGATAAATTAGAGCTAAGTGGTACCTAATGAGTCCTCAACAAACATAAACTATTATCATTATTTTGCAGAGAGTTTTCAAAGGAAAACTGGGAAATTCTGCTAAGGGCCATGAAGGGCCTATTGAAGTGAGAAGAGAAGGGGCATGGTCAGATTTGCCTTTTAGAAATAATGACTGAAGTAGCAGTGGGGAGGATGGATTGGTGGGGGAGGAGGGAAGAATGGATTTGGAGTCCTTTCAGGACTGTCCTAACATGAAAATAGATGAGACATTATTGATCTAAGGAATTTTTATAAATGAAATACAGTTATATTCAAAGAATATAGAATTTCAACATTTTCGTAAAAATTTAAATAAAAAGTAAAACTTAAAATGATTTTCACATTTAAAAATATTAAATTCAAAATTATGTAGTAAAATAAGTCAAATAAATCATAATTAATATCAAATCTTGAAATAAAAGTGTTTAAAAACATAATTGTACAATATTGTGGAATGTTCTTAAGCAACCCACCCTGCTTGTGTTGAATTGGAAGTACTTCTCCAGAACTGCACATTGGAACAAAAAGAGAAATAACGTAGACTTTCATACTGTTAGGAAAGGAGACTTCTTTACAGTGAGCCCGTCTACTCTTGTACACTCCTGGGGTGGAATTGTGAGTTACAGGGAGATGTACGTACGTGCTCCACTTCAGTGGATCCTGCCCAACAGTTCCCGAGTGGCTGGCTGCACTAGTTGATACCCCCCTTAGCAGTATAGGGACGTCTCAGAGGGTGACGTGGCATTTTCCATCATTTTCATTTTTAGCCATTTTTACAGATATGCGCAATGCTGTTTTTATAACCAACACATTATTTTTCTCTTCCTTTTTTAATTCAGCTTTTTTAGGCCCTCCACCCTTTGGGCAGGAGGAATGGGGCGGGGGATGAGGGGAGCTATCATCTCGAGGTGGTTGGTCAGCTGGGGTCTAACCAGAGAGGCAGAGAGACTGAGGCTATGCCGGGCAGAAGGACTTATCAGACACCTCTTGCCTTTCCTCATCTCTGCTGGTTCAAATCCTGCTCGCCTCGCAAGGACACATTAGAATTTAGCTTCTCCAGAAACCCTGGTGTTCCTCATCTGGGGAACATCTGCGCTTGAGCAACATAAGTCTAAGGTCCCCACATGATTTGATGTTTTGCGACCCATTTAAGGCGCAGGGCGCGAAAGGACAGAAACAAAGTGTGAGTTCAAGTCGGTCGGCCGGAGTGTCACTCTTGTAAAAAAACCCCTATGCTTTGAAGGTTCTTGTGTGTCTCGGCCTGCAGGTTCCGCTCGGAGCTGTGTCCTTGAACGTCCATCCTGCTGGGGTGGCTTGACGCATTTCTGTGCAAATGTGTTCGCCCGCAGCTCTACCCCTTGCCCAAGGCGGAGAAAACCCTCAGCTGGGTCCTTCCGGGTTGTGTGTCGAATCTGCCGCGGCGACCCGGCTCCGCATAGCGGGGTGGAGAATGTGCGGCTGCGCGCGCGCCGCGGCGTTTACGCGGCGATTTCATCATGCTACGGGCTGGGCCGCGCGCGCCGCTTCCGTCGCCACCCTCTCTGGACATTCCAGGGCCGCCGGCTCATGCCCACTCCGCGCTCGGCGTTGCTTAAAGCTGCTCGCGCCTGTCTGCTGCTACTGCTGCCGCCCCGGCTCTCGGCCCGATCCTCGCTCCCGCTCCGCCGGCCCCTCAGCGCGCCCTCCGGCGCCCCAATCTCCTTCCCCGCCGCCGCCTCTCAGAGCAGCATGGACGGCGCGGGGGCTGAGGAGGTGCTGGCACCTCTCAGGCTAGCCGTGCGCCAGCAGGTACTGGTGGTTTGCGCCCTCCGCTCAACCCCCGGCTTTCCTCCCAGGGCCCTCTCCTGGCCATCCTTCCCTTCTCCCCTGGGAACCGTCCTCCTCTTCGGTTACCCCTTTCTTTCCCTTCATCTGGCGTCCTCTTCGCTTCCCCCACTTTGGTCCCAAGCCCCCCGCGCGTCAGCCACCTCCCCTTCCGCGGACCCCCATCCTCCCCTCTTTTTGGATGACTCCCTGGAACCCCTCCGACTTTCTGCGTCCTTCTCCGGATCCGTTCTCCCTTCCCCATTCTGTCACAGCCCGCGTCTCTTCTATTTCCAGTGGGGCTGGGATCTGTGACCCTTTGGTTCTCCTTGCCTCCTAACTGAATAACCTTAACTTCAGTTTTCCAGCCTCTGCTGTACTCTTTGTGCACCTGGGTGGAAAGGTTCCTAATTCTTTCCGTGGTCAGTGATGAGCCGAAGCTGCCGGTTCTTTCGTCCTACGCCAGGCCCTTTAATTTTCAGGATGCTTTGAATAGTGTTGCCTCCTTTACATCTTCCTTCATTCAGTGCTTAGTTTAGCTGAGGATTGGCTGAGAAAACAGAGTTGAAACGTAGATGTGGGGAGGTGTCGAACTTTTTAAATAATGCTGTGAACTCATCATCCTTTGCTCTTGTCTTTTCTGTTTTCTGAAAAGGCCATTTGGAACCAGTGAGCTCTCTGATAGTAAACCTGGGAAACTAAATGTTGCAGAGTAACTCGGTGAAGTTAGCCATCCTTCGTGTAGAATATTTTGAAATTTGATTTTCCTGAAGGGAAGGGAGGTTTCATGGGCGGGAGGACTTGGTGATTTAATAACCTCCTTTTCCTAGGGCACTGCATAGAGAATAGAATTTAGAGAGGGCAAGGAAAACATTATTTCAGACGATTCTCATAGCCAATTAGGGAGAGCCCAGAAGCTATCAGTAGGACCCCGGGATCGATGACCTGGTAGTAAACACCAGACGGGTTTCTCCTGCATGGGCGCCTGATGCAATAATTTGCCTTAGCTACAGAGGGTGGAACTCTCTCTCGGAAGTAATTCATTGGGGCATAGCTGCAGCAAATTCAGCGAAGTCTGCCGCTTTGCCATCGGCCCTCTTCGCTGGTTTGAGCCTGACCCATTTAATAAATAGCCTTTAATTTTGAAACATGAAAATTTCAAAATGAAATTTTTTAAAAAGTTAAACCACGGGCTTAACTTTTTTCTTCATTTTTGGTGTCAGAACATCGATTGCATATTCTGTCTCCCTCCACCCACCTTCCACTCCACAATTAAAATTAGGTGTGGTTCCTTTGTTTTTTCTGTAACTTGCCATTTTTAAAACTAACCTTCCCTTTAGAAGGGAGCATACATCTAATTTGGGGGAAAAAAAGCACACACACACACACACACACACATCCAAACACCCAAACCCCTCCCTCTGCCACGTTAGCCTGGAACTGCAGTGCAAATCATCCATCGGTAGTTAAGACTGGATCTAGTTAACTGAAGTAATCTTTCCAGTGCGACTACTGTCCTGTGTATTGCTTATGTTGTCTTGATTATTAGTTGTTTTGTACTTTAAGATGTTTTCTGAATATGTGAATTAGTTAATGTAAGTTAGTTTGGGTATTTTTTCTAATTTTCCAGGAACACACATATATTAGTTAATTGTGTGAATTACTGAGTCGGATGTCAACTGAAAGATAATTTAAAGATGATCTAATTATATCCCTTTTTTGTATATGGGGAAATGAGGCACACTGTCACCCCATCCATTTTTCATGTTTCCATTGTGAAGTGCAGTTGAAAACCTTTCGGAGTGGGATTTTTACTTAAGACTGATCTTGTTAGTAACACGTTTCATAGAGATTTGTTAATCTGGAAAATGAATGAAGTGAGCTTGCCACTTTAAGAAAAAAATGGTTAGTATTTGTGGCCAGTAATAAAATTCAAACTTTAGGAAATTTTAGAATTTTGGAAAACGCATATCTTTTGCTGTGAGCTTGGCAGTTTCGTAGTCCTTAAAGGTATTTCTGATGAGATGAGTGGTGATATTAACGAACGTGAATTTTTTTTAAGTATTTGGATAATCTGCACTCAGTGAACCAATGTTTTCCAAGTGACCAATGCATGATGTTATGAAATCAGGTACTAGTGAAAGAGCCATTCAAAGCTAAAAATAGGTTAACGGATTTATTGTAACAGAGTACAAAAAATTCATTGCTATAGTTTCTGAGTTAAAAATAACCTTGAAAAAACTACCACTTGTTAGAATTTTGATGCAGTATCAAAGAATATCCACAGTTATCCAAAACGGCTTTTAAAATTATTTTTCATTTAACAACTATGTATGATTTTCTTCATGTACTTTACCCAGACTGTCATATTGCAAAAGAAGCAGACTTTCCCCATTGGTCTTTTAGGATTTTTCACAGATTAAAGTTACCAAAATAATAAGTGCTAAACTCAAAATTAAAATACCCCTGAGGAGACAAGCCACCTTGAGTGAGACTCAGGGGAAATGATAATAGAATTAGATCCTCCAAAAGTATTCGAATAATCACATGTTTTTTAAATGCTTAAGATAATTTTACAAAAGAAGGACTCAAAAACATGAGCAGAGAACAAGAGTACCGAAAACAATCAGGCAGTGTGAAAATGAACCACATATTATGTGGAAATGGATTACTGAAATTGAAAACTCTTTTGGGTGCCCAAAGACTCTATCAACTTAACAATTTTAATTACTCAGCTGAAAGTCTGATATAGGTAATGTTTTGTTTGTTTTCTCAGATGATCTAGTTCACCATATTGTTGTAAATATGAAATCAGTATAGGTTGGAATTAAAATAATTCAGTATTATTAGCAAGGAAAAAATTCCAACTATAAAGAGACATTTAAAGGAAGATGAGCCAGCAGTGACTGAGAAGAATGGTCAGAGACGTAGGAGGAAAACTGAATAATTTTTTTTTTGTAATTGAGAGGAGAGAGATTTAAGAGGGTGGTCAATTTATTGGTTCTTCTCTGTCCTCAGTACAAGTCTTGCTCTTTCCTACTTTTTAATCAATGCTTTTTCTCTCCTCCCTTTTCACCTCTCTATACCCAAAGGAAAAAATTCACCGTGTGAGCGTAGTTATTTGTTAACTTGCCTGTATGTTCTTCTAGATTATAGATGAAGAGGGCAGAGACCTTCGTTCTTAATGGCCTCTCACATAATAAACATTTGAATTGCATCATTCTTTTTTTGGGGGGTGGGAGAAAATTAAACCTTATTTATTTTTAGAACCAAACCACTAGGAGAATATATCACAGCCTGGAAACAGCAAATGGACAGGCTATGTTATTATTTCAAGTAATAAGCTGGTGAAAATACAGTGAGGTTGCTATCAAAACAATAGGATATCATGCGGGGCCAGAACATTGCAAGTGGCGAAAGCCCCAAGCAAAAATGGTATCTGGTAATGAGGGGCTGCCTCTCCTTAGCTCTAAGGGAGTCAGCTCATCCTAGCCAAAGTTGCTTACTTTTTCTCTCTTGAATTTCCTGCTGCCAAGGGTTTGTCTCAGTTGGGCCCTGTTAATTCAGGGGGCTAAGTAGGCAATGCTAGGTTTAGGCTTTCATTCCATCTGTCATATAAAAACCAGGTTTTCCGAATCTAGTACTTCATAACTCTGTTATAATCAAGTAGCCAACTGCTCCTCTTTTACTGTCCATTCCTAGATACTCTAGTATATATCACAATCAAAACTGCTTTCTCTTCAAGGGGAAAGTGTTACTGCAAGATTGTACTGTCATTTTGTTACACCCAGCCTTAGGGACCATCAGCCAGTAATTATGCAAATTACCCATAATTAGTGTGTCGTCACCTCTCATGTTTTTGCATGGTCTCCAGACTGAAAGATGCAGCATGTAATGATTTTAAGAAATGTACATCCGGCCGGGTGCAGTAGATCAAGCCTGTAATCCCAGCACTTTAGGAGGCTGAGGCGGGTGGATCACGAGGTCAAGAGATCAAGACCATCACGAGGTCAAGAGATCAAGACCATCCTGGTCAACATGGTGAAACCCCGTCTCTACTAAAAATACAAAAAATTAGCTGGGCATGGTGGCACGTGCCTGTAATCCCAGCTACTCAGGAGGCTGAGGCAGGAGAATTGCCTGAACCCAGGAGGCGGAGGTTGTGGTGAGCCAAGATAGTGCCATTGCACTCCAGCCTGGGTAACAAGAGCGAAACTCCGTCTCAAAAAAAAAAAGAAATGTACATCCACAACTTGATGACCAGAAATAGGGATCTACAAGGAACCTTTCAAAGTTTTTATCCAAACTAGTCTTGCTCCCAATTCCACATCTTAAAATTAACTTGTATGCCTCTGTATAAATGACACAAAACCAAGAAAACAAAGACCCAGAAAACTTTTTTTCCCTTCTAAGTGACCTCACGGATTTTGTTTCACAGCTTATGGAAAATGGTGTGGTGACACTTCTGGTAAACAGGATGTTGGCAACAGAGAGAAAGTATCTCTCCTCAAACTCCACCAACTCTAACCTGCCAGCCTGTTGATTCCTTGTAGTAAGAAGAGTCTGGTACATTGGAGGGCTCTGGCTTGTTACAGGGGAGATCCTTACTGCCAGGACAAGCACTGGCCACAGGAAATATAAGCTCTAAAACTCTCTTGTGATATCTCTGACCCAATTTAGCAGGACTTTTTTTTTTTCCATTTCATTTTTTAGGACTGAAACATAAAAGAACTAGTGTCCGGAGGCAAGTGACATATGCCTTACACTTATGGCCATCCTTAATTTCTTCATTCATAAACTTTGCCTAAAAGACTAAAATTCCCAATTCCTTATAAAAAATACATTCTTGCCCTCAGCCCCAATGGGCACTGGCAGAGACTTTTATTTCCCATTGGGTAAGAGAACCTCATTCATCTTCTTGGTCATAGTTGGGATGAGGTGCATGTGGTCATCCACATACTTGGTCACACAACCGTCCAGCTGCTGCTTCACCTGACGTTCTTTACTCCCAGCATCCATTGAATCTTTGGCTTTGTTGTTGCAATGCATGGTGCACTGGACCAGGTGGTCCTGGAACTTCTCCAACTCACTGGTGACCAAAGCCTGGGCTTGAGCCAGAGGCACATGGCAGTGCTTGATACACTGGTGCACCTGCTACATGGATGCCTGGCTGTCCTCACAACAGCTGGCGCTGCATTGGAACATGAGACTCTGCATCTTCTGGATATTCTCTGTGTCCACACTCTTCACCATTGAGTCCACCGCCTCCTGTATCCGCAGTTGCTGCAACTCCACCATGGCAACCCCGCGCTGCCCCAAGCCGTGCCCTGCCGGCACCCACGAGCTCTTTTTTTTTTCTTTTTGAGACAGGCTGGAGTGCACTGGTGTGATTCTGGCTCACTGCACCCTCTGCCTTCTGGGTTCAAATGATTCTCTTGCCTCAGCCTCCCGAGTAGCTGGGATTACAGATGCCCGCCACCAAGCCCAGCTAATTTTTGTATTTTAAATAGAGACACGGATCACCATTTTGGCCAGGCTTGTCTTGAACTGCTGACCTCTGGTGATCCACCCGCCTCAGCCTTCCATAGTGCTGGTATTACAGGCGTGAGCCACCATGCTCGGCCTGAATTGTATCATTCTTACATAGTGTTTTTAAAAGGCATCCTTAAAAACACATTCCTAACATTTCTTGACTTCTGAAACCAATCCTGAATATAAATTCTCTTTGTTGGCTAGGGAGATCTTGTGCGAAAACTCAAAGAAGATAAAGCACCCCAAGTAGATGTAGACAAAGCAGTGGCTGAGCTCAAAGCCCGGAAGAGGGTTCTGGAAGCAAAGGTAAGTCCTGGGATGCTAAAGTAGGAACATACATGGGTATAGGATTATTCATCTTTAATTTCTTTGGATGGGAGAGACCTAGAAAAGTTTCTCAAGAAGTATCATTTGGTTTATCTGTTTATCCATAATGCCTTCTTCTCCTTTCCCTCTGTCTAGTAGACTCTTCATTCTTTCAAAATGCAACTTAGAATGTCAACTTTTTAATAAAGCCTTCCTGACCCCGCAGATCCTGGACTCAATATGCAACATGAATTTTCATGGAAAGGATTGTGCCCGTCTTTATGACTTCTCTTGTGCCTGGATATAACGATTTTTTGTTTGTTTGTTTTAAGGAAAAGGTCTGTTTATTTTATTCCTGCTCCCAGACCTTTCAAACAATAGATCTCCCATCACCAAACTTATATTGTTTGGAGTTTTAAAGTAACCATTTTGCTATAGGAATTCACTAAAATTAAGATATTGTTTATATCATTATCTGCATCGATGCAAACTTAGTCTTGTCTTTCTTTTGGAGGCAGAGTCTCACTCTTTTGCCCAGGCTGGAGTGTAATGGCGCAATCTTGGCTCACTGCAAACTCTGCCTTCCAGGTTCAAGTGATTCTCCTGCCTCAGCCTCCCAAGTAGCTGGGATTACAGGCACATGCCACCACAACTGGCTAATTTTTGTATTTTTAGTAGAGACTGGGTTTTGCCATGTTGGCCAAGCTGGTCTTGAACTCCTGACCTCAGGTGATCCACTTGCTTTAGCCTCCCAAAATGCTGGGATTACAGGTGTGAGCCACTGCATCTGGGTTAGCTTAGTCTTATAATCTTGGAAATGATCGTATGTTTTCCTAAATGATTAAATAAAGGCATCTTTTATATTACTCAAAGGGAAAAACACACCTACGACTTTTATTGTTTTTAACCTATCAAAATCTTGTCTGATAAATTTTATATTTAATTCTGCTGAGGAATAAACTAAATTCAGATATATAAGTTCAAATTCCCACCCACCTGCTCCGGTCACTCACTTTTTATTTAATCTCTAACAGGAGCTGGCATTACAGCCCAAAGATGATATTGTAGACCGAGCAAAAATGGAAGATACCCTGAAGAGGAGGTTTTTCTATGATCAAGCTTTTGCTATTTATGGAGGTAAGGGATTAATGACAAAAGGAATTGTTATGTTGTTAGTGGTCTAGTATTATACTTAAATCAAGAACATGGCTTGTCTGTTGGTATCCACTTCTATCAGGCCACAAAACAGAGGATAGAAGTCTTGCTTTTGTTCACTTGGAGTCACCCTTTGGTGTAACACCTGTTATTTTTCTCCACTGTATTTATTCTTGGAGAGCACTATTTTCTATTAGGATGTAGGGAGTTGTTGGAGGCCCGTGTATGTATTTGATGTGTCTGTGTACTCATGTACTCTTTTTAAAATGCAGTGGAGACTGAGGAGCAACAGAGGGCCGTTGTAGTACTGGCTAACTATACAGTGCCCCTTCACACAGGGGCAGTGATAAAACAGTCCTTAGATGATTCTTTATGGTCATCTACCAGGAAAAAACATTCTTCACAGGGATGTAGGTAAATCACTCTGAATGCCATTATGAAGGTATATAGGCAAATATAATTCACTGATGAAATGTAAAACTGTATTTTTCATAGTCAACAGATTATTACAACAATGTTAGACATACAGTATTTTGCCTCTGAAAGTTGACTTGAGTTTGGCTAAGCAGATCTGTAAATGTTTACCCTTTTGAGTTTAAGTAGTGCCTCAAATACCCAGAAATAGAGAACTGGATGCTAAAATTATAGTTCATTGTTATCAGATGTCATGAGAAATTATTTCTAATTTTTACGGCAGAGAACTATAATCTGCTTTTTCATTCTGTTTTTTAAATAAGGGGGAGCTTCTTTTGTTGTAAATTTTGGGCTTGTCCTACTTGAAATTACAAACATGGAAATAGTAAATGGCGTAAGAGCTTTTATATTTTACTTCCATCAGCTAGCTGAAAGTAAGGCTCTCCGGTATTGAGGGATTCGAATTGTTGACTTGAATGCACTTTTAGGGAGTATGTGAAGTCTTACAGGTATCAGTTTCTCATGTCTCCTGCCTTCAGTTCTTCAGCGTAACAAGTTAAAGTACATGTTTTCCTCTTATTTTCTATAGGTGTTAGTGGTCTGTATGACTTTGGGCCAGTTGGATGTGCTTTGAAGAACAATATTATTCAGGCCTGGAGGCAGCACTTTATCCAAGAGGAACAGATCCTGGAGATTGATTGCACCATGCTCACCCCTGAGCCAGTTTTAAAGTAAGATCCTACTTTGGAGTGGAGGGAATCCTATTTTAAATAAAAAACTGATTAAATGATTTAATAGACTTACCTAAATAACTTTCTGATTATAAAGAACTACCCATGTTCATGTAGAAAATCTGGATAATACAGAAAAACAAATATATACCTCCTGCTCACAGATAGCATGTTAAGATGATTGTGTTTGTCCTTCCAGTCTTCTTTTTCTGTATGTCCCATGTATTTCAGTGTTAGCAGCACACTGCTTATTTTCATGTAATATAGATGAATATATACTCATGTTATTACCTATTCATCTAAAGCATTTTTAATGACATCATAGTATTCTGTTTTATGGAAGTGCCATAATATGTTAGTTTGTGCCATGTTGAAAGCGTTGAGGTGCTTCTCATTTTTTACTCCACTGAATATCTTGATAGATGGATTTTTATGTATGTCCTTGATTATTTCCTTAATATAAGTTTTTAAAAGTTCTGAGCAGAGGTGTATTTGGAGACATTTTCAAGTAAATACTTTTCTATTTGTATTGTAGTTTCAATGCAGAAACTTAGATTATTCCTACCAACATTATTGAAAGTTGGGCAGAATTTCTTGAATGTAAAACTGAAAGCATTCTTGCCATTTTGTGTCTCATCATTATTCATTTAAGGTTGCCTGGTGGAGAGCTAATTTTTACTGTTGGCATCCATTAGGTTCTCTTAATAATTTCAGCCAGTTAAGATGAGGCATTCCAGATGATGGCTGTGTAAGATCAGGACTATCTATCCGTTTAGCTACTTGCTCCACCAATAGGATCTTTGTAGAGGTAATACCTGTGTCAGTACAGGTTTCAGTGGCAGAAAACACTTTCCTTAAGGTTCAGTGTCTATACTGAGTTGCTGTGAATTCTTAGCTAATCAAATTCCCAATTATTTTGGCCTTTGCTTAGATCACTAATAATAATGGCATAGGCATGGATTAATTGATCCTGAAGGATAGTACAGACTTTATGACAAATTGTGGAAAAGAATTGTCTTTCTAATGTCTAGTTAATGTCTTTTTCCTTATGGGAAGGAAGAATGTGGGAGGGTGAGAAATAGATTTGAGGAAGAATTTTCTCTGGCATACATTACAATATGTCATGGATACATCATTACTATAGATATGGGAGCTTCCATCTTTGAGATACACAGATATAAACATTGAAGGGGAATTATCTTATAAGGTACTATCTATGTGTAATTTGTATGAGAATGACAAATTGGGTTGGCGTTTGTTAATTTAGGACCTCTGGCCATGTAGACAAATTTGCTGACTTCATGGTGAAAGATGTAAAAAATGGAGAATGTTTTCGTGCTGACCATCTATTAAAAGGTGAGGTTCTTCATCTCCTTCAGGTAGGATTGATCAAAATAAAAGGTTTAAACTTTTCTCTCAGATGTTTTCGATTAAATTTTTTATTTAGGCATAACATTCAAAGCGTGAAGTGCACAGATCTTAAGTATATGGATCAGTCTCTTTATTTTTTAAAACAGTTATGTGTAGTATAGATAGTTATATACAGATATTTTTTCTAATTAGCAAATGAATCAAGACAATACCATGAGTGCTGCTGTAAAATTAACTGTGGGATTCATGTAAATTAAGAACATTATCCTTGGATTTACTTTTTAATTGTCCAGCATTGAAACTGAAAAGTGCATTGTCCTTTTTCACATTAATTGACATATGTCAACACTGTTCTTATAGCTCATTTACAGAAATTGATGTCTGATAAGAAGTGTTCTGCTGAAAAGAAATCAGAGATGGAAAGTGTTTTGGCCCAGGTGAGTACTCTAGAGATGTTATCAGAGTAACCTAGGTGGTTGCTGGACTTCTTTCAGTGTTTAATGACTGTTGCATTCCCTATCCTGCTGACCCTGACCACAATTGTAAAGAAGCAGCTCTTTTTTTGAATTTTTATTTTCTTCTCTCTTTTGCGACTCTTTATTTCAGCCAACTTAACAAGTCAGTATAAATAGGCATTACATTTGTCTGTCCTTGGAAGCTAGTTTTCTAGATTTAATAGCTAAAACCACAGGAGTGACTGATGCTGGATAGTGTTTAGCACTGGTGTGGAGATTTCACGGCAGATAACTTGATGAACACTTTCTCATTGGCCACTTGACCTCCCTCTGC